CTTGCCAAATCTTAACATTCCCTTCTTGGGTGACACTTTGAGGAACACATAGTCCCCTTCTTGGAATTCCAATGGTCTTCGTCTTCTATCCGCATAGCTTTTCTGTCTACTTTGTGTCGTGTGTAGTCTTTCTCGGATAAGTTGAATTTTTTTTGTAGTTTCCCGAACAATTTCTGGCCCAAACAAGCTACTCTCGCCCCCTTCTAACCAACACGTCGGTGATTGACATGGCCTTCCGTACAATGCTTCATACGGAGCCATTTCAATACTTGCCTGATAGCTGTTGTTGTATGCAAATTTCACCAATGACAAATGGTCACTCCAACTTCCCTTGAAGTCCAATACGCTAGCATGGAGCATATCCTCCAAAATTTGTATCACCATCTTGGATTGACCATCCGTTTAGGGATGAAAAGCTGTGCTAAAATGCAATTCTATCCCCATAGCTCGTTGTAGACTTTGCCAAAATTATGCCACAAAACGGGAATCACGATCCGATATGATAGAGAATGGAACTCCATGCAATCTTACGATCTCGCAGATATACAACTTGCCCAAGGTCTCTAGAGTGTCTGTGGTCTTCATACTCAAGAAATGTGCGGAGTTGGTGAGTCTATCAACTAGAACCCATACTACATTATGCCCGTGCGACGTCCATGGTAAACCCGACACGAAATCTATACTGATGTGATCCCACTTCCACTTTGGGATAGGCAAAGACTGTAGTAATCCTCCTGACTTTTGATGCTCGATCTTCACCTATTGGCACACCATACATCGTGCTATGAACCTTGCCACATCCTTCTTCATTCCTTTCCACCAATATTGGCACTTCATATCCCTATACATTTTTGTGCTACCGGGGTGTATAGCAAACTTAGAGCGATGACACTCTCCGAGTATCTCCTCCTTTAGGGATGAATCATCGGGAACACATAGCTTCTCCCTATATCTCAGTTCTCCATTTCTCAAAGACCAACCATCCATTGTTTCTCCATTCTCCAATTTAGCTTGAATCGATGCTAAGTCAGGATCTAAGCATGGCAATTCCACAACCCTACGTTGAAGGGTAGGTTAGGCCATAAGGTTGAATAGGCATGGCCGAGATCTATCTTCTCCAACCCATAGATCATAGTCTCCAAGGGCATCCCTCATCTTCCATTTACTTGCAAGAACATTAAGTTCACCCCAAGACTTTCGGCTTAGTGCATCGGCGACTACATTGGCCTTCCCCAGATGGTATTTGAGTGCAAAATCATAATCTTCTAGATACTCAACCCACCTTCTTTGCCAAAGATTCAAGTATTTCTGTGTGAACACATACTTGAGGCTCTTATGATAAAAAAGTACTTGGAACGTTTCCCCGTATAACTTTGGTTTTCTATGGATTTTTATATAATTGAATCTTGTTTGAATATAGAGTTTAGTGCAACACTAGGCAACAGAGTATCCAATGGGAGTTGAGTACAAATAAATCTCAAAGAAACCACATTGTTTGACTTGTAGGAGATATATTAGAGGATGATGAAAAGTAGTAGCCCCCATCCCATTAGTATATTTGATTATAGCTAAGATTATAAACCTCCGATACATTTGGGTACTCATATGCGATGATTGTTTTGAACATATTTTTAAGGTTTGCCTCTTTAAGGCCATAGACTTTGAATTATCAATACTCTTTAACAGATTTCATCCCTTTGGCACCTAGCATCACTACGGATTGCTCTTATCTACCTTTGTTCCATTTGTCATATTAAATGTACTTTCTTACTTCCAAAATTTGTGACATATTAAAATAGTGTCCAAAGGCAATTCATGTGATCACATTCAGCTTAATTTACAACTATATTGTCAAGACTACTTGTGCTAGAAGTGGTAACTGGACAATATTTCTCAAAACTTGTGTTTTGATCATCCTTTTCGACTTGATAGAACTAAAGCTATGTGTACCTCATTTTTTTTTAATAAAATAAAAAAAAATTATTTGAGGAAAGGGAATAAAAAATAGGATACATAGTGGAGGACAAGAAATCCTCAAACATAATAATAAAAAAAATTTTAAAAAAACACAATATAAATAATAACTATGCATTGACACTAAATCAACGCTGCAATCCAATCCCATTGAGGATTTGATAATGGTAAGCCTGTAAAACTTCATGTGGTTATAGTCCATAGAGAAGCCATGGTCATCCTAGCATCGCCTCTAAAATAGAATATTACAAGGACGGTCATCTTGGAAAACCAAGAATNTTTTTTTAATAAAATAAAAAAAAAATTATTTGAGGAAAGGGAATAAAAAATAGGATACATAGTGGAGGACAAGAAATCCTCAAACATAATAATAAAAATTTTTTTAAAAAAACACAATATAAATAATAACTATGCATTGACACTAAATCAACGCTGCAATCCAATCCCATTGAGGATTCGATAATGGTAAGCCTGTAAAACTTCATGTGGTTATAGTCCATAGAGAAGCCATAGTCATCCTAGCATCGCCTCTAAAATAGAATATTACAAGGACGGTCATCTTGGAAAACCAAGACTAGCCGAGCATTAAGCAAAAAGTGTCATGGGGTTATTTTCAACCAAGTGTTGACCTTGTTCGATGCACTCGATAAAGAATTTTCTTGACGAGGGAATACTTTCCAACAACAAAGAAGAGGCATGTAGATTAAGACTAAAGGCATCCAGATTCTAGATATCACCTAATGGGGAACTCTACAAAAGCTCCTTCGTAGAACCATACTTGCTCTATGTACATCCCAAAAATATTCAGAACTTACTTTTCGAGATGCACAATGGAAGTTGTGGGGCACATTCTAGGGGATGGTCTTTAGCATAGAAATAAATTTTTTAAGGGCGCTTGTGGCCCTATATGCATAAGGATGCTCAGAGGTATGTTAGGCATTGCGAGAAATGTCAGAATTCTCACCCATGTCAACACACCCGTCACAGGACCTAAATCCATTGTCAAGCCCCTGGCCCATCGCCCAATGGGGATTGGACATAGTTGGTCCTACGCCAAATGCCACTAGGAACAAGAAGAACCCTATTGTAGGAACAAACTATTTTATGAATGGGTAAAATCCGAGCCTTTTGCTCACATATGGGACACAGACACAAAGAAGTTCATTTGGAAGAACATAATTACAAGGTTTGGTATCCCAAAAAGCAGTGCTGTTAGATAACGACACTCAATCAAAAGCATACAATTCAAAGAATTCTACCAGCATTATGGGATTATAAATCATTACTTTTCTCCTGCATACCCGTAAGGAAATGGAAAAGTAGAGAGTTCAAACAAGACAATCCTTAATGGAATCAAAAAGAGGTTGAAGAAAGCTAAGTGAAGATGGGTGCAAGAGTTACCAAGCGTTTTATGGGTGTACCAAACTGCACTTCGTTGAGCAATAGAAGAAACTCTGTTTGCACTGACCTATAGAATAGAGGCTATAATACACTAAGAAATCGACTTACCTAATCTAAAGACCGACCTGGTCACCACTGGGGGAAATGAGTCCAAGGTTGCCAGAGACCTAGACTTGGCTGATGAAAGAAGAGAGCTAGCTAGTATAGAAATAGCGTCTTACCAAAAATAGATAGCTTGAGCTTATAACAGAAGTGTAATTTCAAAGGGTTATGGTAGGATATTTAGTCATAAGAAAAACTACGGGCACCACGAAGAATCCTGTGGAGGGCAAACTTGGGGCCAAGTGGGAGGGACCCTACAGGGTGACCTATGTCTTGGGCTCTGATTATTACAAACTTGAAAAGATCGAATGGAAAGCAATCCAAAGCCCCTAGAATGCAATGAACCTCTGTAAATATTGTCACTAAAACAGAAGTCGCAGCACATCTAATGGAGTGCCTCCATTAGGAGACAACTCGAAGTGCCTTCAGGATTTCCAAGTGAAGGATATGTAGAACAAAATTTTCAATTAATAAAAATCTTCATTTTCATTTCCATCTCTATTTCATATATTGCAATGATCAACTGTGCAACTAGGCTTTACCAACTGCAAAGGAACAAGACCCAAGAATGAAATGCTGGGAAAATTCAACCTACTATTGAGGCAATGAGGATAAAAATCTTGACACCAACGGGCCTTTGGTCCAATGGTATTCCTTATCTTGTGCAGGATTTTCCTTCTTGAGGTCAAAGGTTCAAGTCCCCCCTCCCCTCTCCCTTCCCCCACCCCAAATTTCTTTTTTTTTTAAAAAAGGATAAAAATCTTGACATAGGAAGGGACCAAGCTCAGGTGTAGCCACCCATTTAGGCTTAGACCTGGAACTAGGCACGACGGTGTATGTTCTACCAGGCAAAGCTTTGAATCTAAAGATAGAGCCTTCCTTGAAGAAAGAGCTTCTTTTAAGGAAGGACAGGTTTGAAATATCTCTTTTTTTGACATGAGTATGAAATCCCCGAACTCTCGTTGATGATCAAGCCTCATGCAAGGCAAGTAGGGGACAAGAGCCCATTTCTAGGCATAAGTACTAAAGGCCCGAACATCCCCGAGGACTGTGCCTCGAGAAAGGGAGGGGAAGAGTTGAAAGCTCATTTTTTGGCACAAGTATCAAATCCCTGAACTCTCCTTGATGATTGAGCCTCATGTAAAGAAAGAGGGGAGTAGAAGTTCGTTTCTTGGCGTATAGACCAAAGGCCCAAACATCCCCTGAGAACCGAGCCTCGTAAAACGGAAGAAAAGGGCTGTAAGCTCATTTTTTGGCCCGAGTATTCGAGCGTCGAACTCTCCTTGAGGATCGAGCCTCATTTAGGGAAAAGGGGGAGCTAAAATCTCACCTGTTGCAATAGAACCTCATTTTTTGACAAGCATTGATTTCTTATCAAAAGCAAATTCCTAAATGAAAAATTCAAAATTAATAAACAATCCATTAATAAAATGAAAAATTACATAAAATTCTTTCACGCACAAAACAAAAAAACAAAAATTACATGTTTAGAGCACTATACGAGGATTTGTTGGGTTAGTACCCTAATCATTAACAAGAAGAAAAGTAGGGCCATAAGTATCAACTGAAGGAACCTTAGTCGAAGGAGGAATCATACCCAAAGAAGAAGGAACAGTCACAATGTGCATAGAAAAGAGTCCAAAATTAGAAGGAATCTTGGCCTCCTTCAAGGCAGCATCCCACCCCTTCTTGAAGTAAAAACCCTAAATCCCCGAAACCTGCTCTATCGTAGCACTCTTTGCCTTCTCAAAACCCTTGTCATAGGCTTCGTCCATAGCNTCTTGGCCTCCTTCAAGGCAGCATCCCACCCCTTCTTGAAGTAAAAACCCTAAATCACCGAAACCTGCTCTATCGTAGCACTCTTTGCCTTCTCAAAACCCTTGTCATAGGCTTCGTCCATAACAATCTTAATCGAGGATAGAAGGGCTTCCAGATTGAATTTAAGAGAGGAGTTGAGCCCTTTCCCCAAAGTAGCCATGTCGCGAGCCGCTTTCTTCGATTTCTCTATTGTCTATAACTTATGAACAAATTCTTCCTTATGGCAAGAAAATATTTCAACTTCATCCTGGAGCCAAGTAATTTTGTCAAAGGCTTTCAAGAAATCTAGAGACCTTGAAGTTAGGGTTTCCTTCACATCCTTGCCCCTAGTTGCGGTCTAAGATTTGAGATCAAAGACCCATTGCATGCCCTATAAGGAAAGTAAAGGAGAAAATCAAAGAAGGGGAGGGTACCGAACAAACTCAAAAAAGACAAGGAAGTTTGGACAAACTTAACACCACCATAAGTTGAACAACATTCCGTGCAAGAGCATCATCGTCTAGATCCTCTAAAATGCACAAGTTAGGGGGAAGAATGGACACCTTAGCCAAGCCAATTGTGATGTTGAGATTGTCAACGACCGAATCCTTTGAATGAATGTCCTTACCATGAGCATGCATCTGAGGTCTCCAAATTTGAGCCCCTTCAACTTCTTTAGTAGACAGTTCCATGATGATCTTTCTCATTTTTCCCACTAGATTATCTCTTCATTAGCTCTGTAACAAAAGGTGGTATCTTCTGTTAGGTCAACATCATCCTTGAAATAGAGAAATGCAACCCGTTGTTCATAAGCAGTAGTAGTTAGGCCCTCATTCAAAGGAGGGAGAAAAGGATGCTCAACTGATGGAGTTTGTTTGGCTAGGACCATAAGTGACCAAACATCAACTGATGTATCACATTTTGACACCACCCTAAAAGCGAAGCCGACGATAAAATTAATGAATTTTTTTGCAACACAGTCTCTTCCCATGCCTTTTCTCTTTAGGACCTTTGGTACAAAAATTGATGCCTCCTTTGACTGAGTAGCCCTCAAAACTAAAAATTGTTGGGATGTCGATGATGGAATCGCTATGAAAGACTTGTAGGTGAGTTCATAGCCCAAAAACCCGTGCGCAGCTCTGCACTAGTGGTTTGAAGCGCCGAATTCCCAAAATTTCTATATATTTACTAAATTAACCCTCAAATCTAGCACCTTCCTCTTCACAGATTCTCCTGCAGTAATCAAAGAACCAAGATCCTTTAAAAATAGGAAGAGGACGAAAAAAGGGAAAAACAAAAAAAGGGAACTGAACCTGGTGCACCTTCTTCGAATGGACAGTTGTAGTGAGGCTCTTTGGCCTGCCAATATTCACAGTTGCTAGAAACGAACAAGACATCATTCTCATGACCTTTATCCAAATCAAGAAGATGGGTGGCCAAGTAATTATCAGTTTTTTTGACTCGAAAGTAATAGTTTTTATCAGAGGTGGGAGCAATCGTATAATGATGTGTGGATTTTATACCTATGAACTGAGTATTCTTTGGCTTGATGAAATTGAAAGTTTCCAAGTATTTTATGTTCCTTTTTATTTTATTTTTTGTGTGTTTTAATGTTATTTCGTATGGATCATGATTTGGAAGGAAACAAGGTCATTTAGAAGGAAAGAAGGTCATTTGGAAGGAAACAAGGTCATTTGGTAGCCTAAGTGTTAGATTATTTGAAGACTAAGCAACAAGGGTAGTTGTAGGCATAAATGGAGGTCAACGCCACAGCTCTAGGTGCAGCACTACAACTCTAGAAGGGCATAAACTTAGTGCAGTAAACCTAATTTTAGGGGTTGCAGCTCTTGTTTTGGCTCAGGACGCGAATTCTAACTTGATTTTGAGTAGGAATTGAACCCTAATGCTACATATATGCTAGGGTTTGAGTTTGGATGAATATATACTGATATGAAGGACTGCTAATAGAGGATTAACCAAGGATTGATAGTGAATTGAAATCAAGGATTGAAGGAAGCAACGCGAAGAAGATTAGACTTGAAGGCTAGAGAGAGATTGAAGATTGTAACTAAGTTTTCATTCATTTTCTCTTACTTTTATTTTTTGATTTTCTAAGATGTTGATTAATTTGAGAATAATTATTTTCAATTACATTATGAACTAAATCTTTATTAAGATTGCAATAAAATTGGATGTTTCGTTAAATTGATCTACTCTTGTTTCTAGTTCTTATTGATCATATATGAGTTGTTTGTCATATTTTGTGCTTAATATATGATTGTTTGGCCAAAAATTAATTTGATTCCCGATATGAAATTGAGAAATGAATTCTAGGTTTAGATTTGAATATGATGACACGTGTCTGGTTAATTCTTCTTAGGATTGAATAGCTGGGTTTGTGTATAGAATATGAATATACCTATATGTCGTGTGTAACTTTTATGAGACTTTGAACATAATGAATATATTCTAAATTATTTTACATAGGAATATAGTAATTTAATTGGGAGAAATATTTTTATCTAACTATTAGAAGAGGTTTAATAAATAATTTTGAGTTCTCAGTTAACAATTTATTTTGTTCGAAAGAGAGTGAAAAAATTTATATGAAGCATTAGGGAAAGTTGTAATCTTAACTTCTTTTATTTGGTACATTCAATCCTTGATTATTAAGTTTAGATTTAGTTTTAAACTAGTGAATTTATAGTTAATTTCAATTGTTTAAATAAAGTTGAATTGATATAAAGTTAGTACTTAGAAATTATTAGTAATAATTCTCCGTGGGAACGATACTCTATTTATCACTTTATTACTTCTTGATCATGTATACTTGCACGTAAATTGTCATTATCAAATTTGGGCAATAAGTTTTTGGCATCGTTGTCAGGAATTTATTCTAGTAATTATTTCAATCAATTTGATATTAGTTTAAACTTATTTAATTTTATGTTTTAATTTTTTTCACAAACACTCTTGAATTTTGTATGCAAACACAATCTACAAGTTAGGAGCTATTATCATACGAAGACGAAATTGAAAGAAATCTCCAAAACTTGCAAAAGTAGTGTCAAAGAAGTAAATAATCAAAAAACTATGGCGGAAGATGAACATAAATCGCTAAGGGATTATGTTATGCCGCTTGTTACAAAAATACAATCGAGCATTCAAAGGCCCGCAATTCAAGAAAACAGTTTTGAGATCAAGCCAGGTACCATCCAAATGATACAGCATTCAATGTAATTTGGGGGTTTGCCTAACGATGACCTACATGATCATTTGGTGAGTTTTATGGAGATTTAGGACACGTTCAAATACAATGGGGTTTCTGAAGATGCGATTAGACTCCGACTTTTCCCATTCACACTTCATGATAATGCAAAGAGTTGGTTGCATTCATTGCCATCGGGTTCTATTGGAACGTGGACTGATTTAGCTCAAAAATTCTTAGCTACATTCTTTCCACCAGCTAAAACTACAAAGATGAGGAATGACATCACTTCCTTTGCACAACATGATTGTGAGACTCTATATGAAGCTTGTGNCATGATCATTTGGTGAGTTTTATGGAGATTTAGGACACGTTCAAATACAATGGGGTTTCTGAAGATGCGATTAGACTCCGACTTTTCCCATTCACACTTCATGATAATGCAAAGAGTTGGTTGCATTCATTGCCATCGGGTTCTATTGGAACGTGGACTGATTTAGCTCAAAAATTCTTAGCTACATTCTTTCCATCAGCTAAAACTACAAAGATGAGGAATGACATCACTTCCTTTGCACGACATGATTGTGAGACTCTATATGAAGCTTGTGAGCAATTCAAGGATTTACTCCAAAAATGCCCTCACCATGGTATTCCTAAGTGGTTGCAAGTTCAGACGTTCTACAGTAGGTTGTTTAGTGCTACTTGGACCAGTATCGATGCAGCTGTAGGTGGGGCATTGATGAGGATAATTTTTGATGATGCCCACGAGTTATTGGAGATGATAGCTGCCAACAATTATCAGTGGCCTTTTGCAAGGATCAATCAGCCAAAGGTGGCAAAGATCTATGAAGTCGATGCGGTTACTATATTGGCTACACAAGTTGCTACGTTGACAAAGAAGATTGATGCTTTAGGGGTGCAACCTATTCAGAGTGTGGTAGTTTTTTGTGAATTGTGTGTCGGGAACCATCCGAGCAATCAATGTGCAATTAGTTTAGTGTCAATACAATACGTTGGTAACTTCAACAGGTAACAACATGGCAACAATTTCAACAATTATAATCCTGGTTGGAGGACTCATCCAAACTTGTCTTCGAATAATAATCAAGCCCAAACTTCTACTCCAACACAATCACACCCACCAGGCTTTTAGAATTAAGCTCTACCACAACAGGAAAAAGAAGTCAAATTTGGAGGAGCTGCTTTCCAGGTATATAGCATAGAATGAGACAAGGATAAACAATATGGAAGTATCAATCCGAAACCTGGAAAACCAAATGGGTCAGCTCGCTAATTCCATTAACAACCCACCTCATGGCAATCTACCTAGTGATATAGAGATCAATCCTAAGAGGGAAGGTAAGGAGCACTGTAATGTTTTAGATTACGAAGAGGAAAAGAGTTACCTGTGGTTGTTGGTGGAACTCCAAAACAATCACACGGAGATGATACTGAGGGTAGAAAAATAAAAGATAGCAACAATGTGAAACAAGAAAAGAAAGAAGAAGATCCAGTTGCATGTTGTAATGGAGGTAATCCGAGACCTATTGTGCCTCCCGTGCCGTTTCCACAACGTTTGCAAAAATAGAAGTGGGATCAACAATTTTTTNGAAAGAAGAAGATCCAGTTGCATGTTCTAATGGAGGTAATCCGAGACCTATTGTGCCTCCCGTGCCGTTTCCACAACGTTTGCAAAAATAGAAGTGGGATCAACACTTTTCTNGTTGTAATGGAGGTAATCCGAGACCTATTGTGCCTCCCGTGCCGTTTCCACAACGTTTGCAAAAATAGAAGTGGGATCAACAATTTTTTAAATTCGTGGAAATGTTTAAGAAACTCCAAATAAATATCCCTTTCACAGAAGTAGTGAGAAAATGACTAACTATGTAAAATTTTTGAAGGAAATTTTGTCAAATAAGAGAAAAGTAGGCGATTTTGAGACAATTGCACTTACGGAGGAGAAAAGATCCAGAGTGATTGGAGTTGGCTTCAACTCTTCAAGTTGGAGTTGTTGATATATCGAGTAGGGTAGGAGGTTGACACTTGCCCCCAAATCAAGAAGAGCTTGCTCCACCCTGCATTTTCCTATTGTGATGGCAATGGTAGGGCATCTAGGGTCCTTGAACTTTGGTGGGGTGTTCGTCCTTAAGATTGTGCTCACTTGCTCAGTGAGGAATGCCTTCTTGTGAACATTCAATTTCCTCTTCACTATGCACAAGTCCTTCAAGATCTTGGCACATGATGGAATTTGCTTTATTACATCGAGGAGTGGAATATTAAGTTTAGTTGACGGCATTGACTTGCTCATGGTACACTTCCTTAAGTGCCAGAATGTTAGGGCACTATGATATGGAATGCTACACACTCTCACAAATTGAGCAAAACTCCTCTAACTTTGAAATATTAGATACCATGTGTCACCTATTGACCTCTAGGCTTTCCACCCTCTGAGACAACTGGGTGATTTTAGAAAGAAAATCTTCCCAGTCCCTCAAATCGTACATCCCACCCCCATGTGATTGATTACTACTCGGAGAAGAATTTGATACATTCGTGTGATCAATAATATCCCAAGATTATGCATTTTGTGCCAATGTACTAAAGTATTCGAGGGTCTCACCGGGATCTTTGTTCAAAAAATCCATGTTACACATCATATTAATGAATTGTCGATGGCCTAGTGTAATCCCTTTGTAGAAGAAACTCACCAATTTCCATGATTCAAAATCATGATGTGGAATGCATTATAGCAATTCCACGTAGCGATCCCAATAGTGATAAAACTGTTCTTTGGGCTTTTCCAAAATGTTTTGGATTTTCTTTTTAAGAGTGGTGGTTTCAGGCGCTAGAAAGAATTTGTTCAAAAACTCAGAGAGCATTTTATGCCCAAGAGGTTGTGGATCGAGGTCTTGACAAATTCAAACACGATTTGGATT